CCAAGGTATTGCAAATAGGGTATGTTCAGTCTGTTTTAGTAGCCACGGTTAGCTTTCATAATTGTTTTTTGCATTTTTAACACACAAACAAATATAAATGCTACTTTTGGCCAGTGTTTGTGACTAAGTGGCTACTAAAAAAGACTGGACATACCTCATATTGAATACCCTGTGTTGTCTACTTTAAAAAAATATGTACATGTGAGGTGTGATTCAGAGATATATGACAGATAACAGTGTTGCAATGTCACTATTGATACATTTTAAAAATATATATTTTGAAACAGCAATGTCCTACTTGTACGCATAGCCCTATAACCTGCAAAAAAAAAGCAGTTCTAGATGTGTAACAGATTTTGGTGGTTAAAGTTAGAAAAAGTGAGTTTTTTTTTAAATGTTTCATCATATTTTTTAATTTTTGTTTATTGTAAATTATATGATATGATGAAAATAATGCTATCTTTAGAAAGACCATTTAATGACGAGAAAAACGGTATATAATGTGTGTTGTTACAGTAAACGAGTACTAGGAAAATGACAGCTAAACATAAACAGTAGTACAGTAGTATGTATATAGGGACATAAATACTATGTAAAAAAAAACAACACTTTCATGGAACCAGTTTAAAAAAATATTCTAATAAATTATCAGATTAGATAGTATGATTAAGAAGGACAGTATGAACAATTTGAGACCTACATATATTATTTAGCTGTTGGTTTTCTTTTCAATTTTCCTAAACCTTCATGGTACCACAGGTATTTATGATAATTACTGAATTAGTAGTCTCTGGATTAGCCCTTTACTATCCAACTTTATCATTTGTGCCCCTGTGGTAAAAAAAAAAAAAAGGCTGCACCTGGACCTCTTGTTCACTGCCAGAATACACTCTATTCAAAATATCTCACATCATCACTGTTTATAATGTTTGTAAAATCTGAAATGAGGCAAATAGAGCACTGGCCCTGGAATCCACTCTTTTTGAGTTGTGGCTGAGTAACCTTGACACATAACTTGGAAGTTAATTAGATACATGGACACTGAATACTGATGGTTGCTTTCTATTGTAAAGAGATTACAATGTTTTATTGTAATCTCCCTAATCTCCCACAATCCATCTCTGCCTTACAATATCTCTGTATAACTAAGGCCGTAATCGATTTTTATATGTGTATGGTTTGCCTACTAATCTTCTGTGGCATTTTCTGGTAGATGCAGAATGATAAAAGATACAATGCTGCCGTGGACTAGTGGGCATTAGGTGTAATCCTATATCAGATGGTCACGGGAGATGACCCATTTGACAGTAGCTAATCAAGCATTACTTTGATCAACTCTACACTGGAGAACACCGCAAGCTATACTTTATATCTTACTCCTGATACAAGAGACCTTTTAGAAAAAGTGGGTATGATTTTGCTCTATGGAATGAATGTGGGTACTTTTAAGTGGAATTATATTAAAGAACATTTTGTACGTGCTGTTTTTTGTCAGCTTAATCATAACCTAAAGGACCTATTAAAGAAAAGCCTAACTGAAGTAGAAAAAAAATGTTACTGGATGACGAATGTATACAGTTATAGAAAGCATTTTCTTGAAAAGACATTTGCTTAGCTAATACTTCTAGACAACATGTAAGGGTTTACTGTGCCTATAAAAATGTATTTCATTCTAAATATGTTGGGCACCATGGTGAATTGTTATATATTAAAAATAAACTTTATTTACAGTTTATTTATAAAATGCACCCAAACCTCCCGGCATCATTTAAAGTAAAGGAAGAAATAACCTTAAGCAAAGCCTTAGACCCCAGCACATACTAGCTGACACGGGTTAAAAGAAAAACAATAATGTTCACCGTATGTTATTAAAGTATAGTATCATGTTAGAATAGAAATAAAATGTTTTTCAGTGCTTTAGAACTCTAACTAGAATAAAGCAGAAAAGATTATAGTAAGGTTAGTTTGTCCAAGCACTAGAATACAGTCATGTCATGTTTAATGATGTTAATAATATTATATATATATATATATAACATATGGTCTTAATTCAAAGTGAAGTTTATTCAATATTGTTCATGTGATGTCCGATCAACGTTTCGACCCTTCAGGGTCTTTTTCAAGATTAAATACATGGTGTAATTTACAAGTTTAAATACAGTTTTAATGATAAGCACTTACCAAACAAGGTGTGTGTGTAGCTCCATCCCTCCGAACCCGGACGTGCCCAGACTAGGCGCATGAGCACCATGTCATGCGTGCGTACGCATTTGTGTGGTTGCTAAGTGACGAGTAAACAAAGTGCTGTCATGCATAGTATCCGTGAAAGAAAAATATTTTTTTTTCAATTAATGGAAGTTTTCAATTATTTGTTGTCATTACCCATTCTGACTATATGGGAAGCCTCAGGTATGTAAAAAAAATATATAAGGGAAATGACAGTGAAAATAGTGCGCTGTGATAAATCAATAAACATGCATGTGAAAGAAAAACCTCCTAAGCCATATAATAAAAAGAGACTAATCCCAAAAGCCAACAAAATGTCAAAAAGATTACTATAAGAGTAATAGTCTATTGTGAAGGACTAGGTGCTAAAGCTATACAATATATAGAAATGTTGAGTATATACATATTCATCTCATAGAAAGTTGCTATTTGTATCCATATAAGTAAAATTACCAGCAATGTATGATCTTTCTCAAACAATACTAAAGTAATTCATAACCATATACACATCTGGCTTAATGGATGTGCCACAAAGATAAATAGATTACATTTAAATTACTATTAATCCATATATTGGAATAAAAATATACCTGCTTGAGAAGAGAAATCTATAACTTCTACATTATTAACATGGGATTTATGGCTCATGTAACAGGAACATTAAATATAAGCATGAAAAGGGGTGAGTGCCGAGGACCTCTGGAATATATATATATACACTTTTTCTCAGTATTGTCACATATAGTATATTAACATCATTGTTTATGTTCTTTCTTTTCAGACATCATTGCAGGATTTCCACAAAAAAGTGGGTGTGAACGAAGTTATGTCTCATAGTCAGGGTGCAGAAGAGCCAATTCTTTCAAATGTTCAGGAATTGCTTAAAGGGTTTAGTTACATCAATCCCAAATGGGTAACATCATCCAAACCCAAAGCAGGACCTAGTGCACAATCCTCATACCTAGGGGAGACATCCAGAATGTCTACATCAAATAAAGTAAGAAAATATAACATGTTTTTATTAACGGTTGGACTCCTACCTGTAATCCTAAACACTACCCTATGACTATACTAATTCGTTTTCAAAATGAGAAATTAAAGTTGGACTGTTGTCATTATTTTTCATCAGGATAGTGTCAATAATGTGTTTCTAAAACACAATGCTGGGCATTGAAATATCTTTCTGTTCGTTGCCTATTTGATTTTTTTTTTTTTTATATATGGATGCTTTCTTGCACGTATTTCACTTCCAGAAGAAGATTTTGCTTTCTTTCTTCTTTTTATATAATGCCTTTACATCCAGGAGGATATGTGGGTAACAGGAGCACAAAAGCATAACAATTCTTGCTATTCTGAGAAAAATAACATAAATGTGTATCATGGAATCTGATATAACCAGAGGACACAGACATCTCTATGTAGCTGTGCTAGCATAACAAACACGCAGTTAGGCATTTTCTATTCTGTACCGATGGAGATAACATAATCCGGAGTGCCTTCAGGACTAGGTCGGGACCCACTCTTGTAGACCATTCATTACTGTAATGTCTGTGTGTTTATTAGATCAGTAAAAGACTAATTGTAAACTTTATTTCTAACTAATTGTCTTTCAGATGAAAAGAAACACAGAAAAATCATCTTCTCCTCCTCACCTGGACAGTTCTTTTTCCAGATTGGGATTATTACAAATAGAAAAAGAAAAAGGGAAGAAAGTGAGAACAAACCAAGCTGTGTTCACAAAAAAAGAATATCTGATCAAAACATCTCCACTTTTCTTCTCCCCCATTCAGTTTGAGTCATCACTTCAAAAAACATGCAGTAGAAAGTGTGAGAGAGATTTGTTGGGGATAAAATCAGCCTGGCCCTTTGTGGATGATGGATATTTGCCAACTCATACAGAGCTCTGGAAATTGGAAATGAATAGCAGAGACGTGTTCAATAACCAATTCAAATTGTATTCATACGTCAGTTATATTTATAACCCATTTTCATAGCAGGATGGGAGGGGGAAAAATGAGCATATGGGCGTGACAATGACATTGTTTTTCACAAGTTATAAACATCTGTTTTTAGTTATAATTCGATGTTACATAATGTATGCATATTGGATAAAACCCAGATGATTACAAATACCGAAATCTTGGACAATTAACAAGGTCATTCCAGAATCCTTATCATGTCATGTCATGTCATGTCGTGTCATGCATGTCATGTCATGTCATGTCATGCAAATATCTTTTTTCCAGGAACATAACAAAATCATGTTTCAATAACATTTCTGAGAATTGGAGATACAATTCCAAATTTATTCTTGATTCAAATTAACCCTTACATGAACAGTTAGGATATAGAGCAAAATGGATATTCGCATCTACAATTCCCCTCTTAGATCATATCATGATCTACCTTATGGAATATCCATGGGAGGCCTGCGGCAGAGAAACGAAAGGAGGTATATTCAGACGTGCTAATCACGTCTGCGGGACTTTCCTTATTTCTTCACCTCGATTTCCCCCATTTGCTCTATGCCGCAGGTTTTCCCTTTAAGAGGAGATCGAGCTGTCGATTTTCAGCTTCTGTAATCATCTGTTGTACACATCTTTAAGTGTACAAGTTAAATATTTCAAACAGCTGACATCTTAACCAATTTTAAACATACTGCACATCATGTTATCTGTAACTTGAGCCTTGGATCAAAACAGGCAAAGTGTATTATTCCTAACAACGGGAATATTATTATTATTATTATAATTCACAACGTAAACACATATAATCAAAAATGGGAATAAAATCTATTTCCCCTCTTTGGACCAGGGTCTTGGATTACCAGTCCACCCAGTGAACTTGGGCCAGGTCAAAAATCCCAGTGGCAAAAACTCATAATTGAGAAAAAAAGCACATCTGGGTAAATTCTAAGTGAGGGCCATGACTGTGTAGACATGTCATCCCCTCACATTGACAGCATTAGTGACTTATAAAACCTGCACTATGTAAGTAAATAGCTCAGGTATCGGGATTGGGAAACACTTCTTGATTAGTTTGAAAAGGCCCACTAACATATTAAATCATAAGATCATTTCTAATCAGTTTGCAATTCTAGCAATAATCCCAATCATGACCTTGCGTCCTATGCCTCCTAATCAAATCCCTATTTCGATAGTCCAGTCATATCCACACTTAATACATTGGAATCCATCCTTGGTACACTCAACATACATCAATGACACACATAGTACATCCATGCCTGAGTAAGCTAACACTTCCTCTCTCTCCGGCTAACTCTACAAAAATAAAAATAAAAATAACAAAATAGTTCAATAGTCCAGCATAGTCCAGAAAAATATTATAAGTCTTTCAAGGAGTATAAAGAATCTTAGACACCATAAACTTTGTTCCACAATCTTAGACACCATAACATAGCTAAGGGTAGCAATATGGCTGACAACAAGACAATGTCAGCTTCCACATAGTTCTTAATTCTTCTGTTTGCTGGATGTTCACCACAATACTCTGTGCAACACCCCAATTGTTGAAAGGGTAATACAGAAATAGCGGCATTAGACAGCACTGCATCTTCAGGACTTTCCAAGTTAGTTTATGTCCTCATAAGTAAGCATCTCAGTTTCTTCGGCCAGCATGGATTTTGACCAAACAGATTTAATTGCAAAAAAGGTAAGTAGGCAGGTAGGTCAGCCAGAGAGATTGGTGTGTAGTCCCAAATATCAGGCAGCACAAATACTCCAGTACGGTCTCTATAATCATACAAACACAAGGATCAGTACGACATCAATAAATTAATTATCTAGGCTAAACTCAAATTAGAGACTAAAGTTAAACTCTTAACTAGTGTAACATGTACGTCTCTCAGTTTTGTTTATGTCCTTTATAAAATTTTAATACATAATTTCCCTTTAAAATGCCTTGTATGGATGAGAGAAGCACTCATTCTATATAAATGCTTGTTGAGTACTAAAACACTAACATATACATATTGGTATAATTCCCAATAAAATGCTGTTCTTAAACTTAAACCTTGATTTGATAATCTCAATTAATTACTTTAATAAAATTTTGTGGACCCTGATAACATCTTTGGAAACCCAAACCTTTTATAGATCCCGATGTGTGTGATCATGTTTTAATACAGTTATCCCACTTAAACAATATATTTTTTTTTTTTCAGAACAACTAGGAATGAAATAGGAGAAACAAAATAAATTACTATTGTTCTAAAGTGCTTTGTTTAATACAGGTTTAGGAAGAGTTGTCTTGCTGTGTTGCAAGTGGCCTCTGATAAGGAAGGGACAGCAAACTGTAGACATATGTTATATTAAGTTGCTCTCACTTGTCAGGTCTTGGAAACCCACTTAATTTATTGCAGATGCCTCTATTATACCACTTTACAAATTGACTAAGCATACTTATTATCCTATTTTATTTTAGTTATTTCACATTGCACAGCCTATGCAAACAATGTCTAGGTCCCAACTTCAACTTGTACATCCTCTAAGAGCCAGCATTAATACTGTTTTATCTATCAAAACTATATATAAAGTATTAAAAACATGAACCATCTGTGTATTAGGCTGAGGTTGTTGGGTGTGGGTATAGCTTGAAAGTTGTGGTTGGTAGTGAGGAACCTGCCAGGGTGGGAGTCCTTGAATGCCAGCTGGGCCAGGAGAACACAAGCACCTTGGGGTGAATCCCTGCTACCCACAATTAAAACAGTGCTGAAGTTACCATCTCTACAAAAGTTAAATCCTTTGATCAAATTCTCTACCTCTGCCTCTAAAACTTTTCTGATTCAATCTATCACCTCCAAACTTTCTTTGTCTCGCCTGCTTAAGATCACAATCCTTTTGTGACCGATACAACATACTTTTCCCTCTTTCTTTATATCCAAAACAACCTGCTGTATCTTTCTCATGAATCTTCCCAAGAAATTCAGTTCAAAGAGGGCCAGTCACAGACCAACAGTTTGACCAAAAGTGAACAAGGAGGAAGCATATTCCATATGAAGGTCGAGATGACCTAACTCACACCCCCTCTTTGTGTACACCTATTTGTGTACCACACAGATATAATATTAATAGGCTTTTGAAGATTTATTGTGTTTGTATAGCACGGTTGTCTAGGGGTGTATACATAAACAGTGAAAGCAGAGTCTTCATATGGGGTTTGCAATACTGACAGTCTGGGTCATAGGTGTAATACAGACATGCGGTTAGGAACTTTTCCATTGTCAGAACACTAATATATTGCAAATATTAAAATCATATTGCATATTGCTGTTTCCTATACCTGCAAGGATATGGTTGTAATACTTCAATTGAGTTCAAATTGAGTATCAAAAATTCTAACCACAAAAACTAAATTTTATATGCTTATCAAAATGAGTTTAACCCCTTAGTAATTTAATAGGGTGACCTCTTCCCATAGTATGGTTCCTTTTATTATTATTATATTATTTATTCTCTTCTGGGTCTGCAAAATGCTTTCAATATACCAATACAAATATAATACAGTAGTTTAGAATTGCCTCAAAAGAAATTATCTGATCTCTATTAAAAATACCATTTCATCATTTTCCTATAATCAATGAGGCATACTAGATGAATCTTAATCTTGGAAAAAACCTATCCTATACATCCATAATTTTTCTTGTTATATAACCATCTAACATAACACATTTTTCTTTTCTTAAATAATGCAATGCACTTTAAAAGTAGCGTTAACTCTAAATACTCCCCTAATAATACTGAAACGTGGATCCACGATTTTGAAAAGCAAATGATATATTTTTCTTTTTCTTTCCCAGGGGCCCCTTTCTTGTTGGCTGATCAGCGGTTTTTTAATCTGTTGTAAAAAGACACTAAAGGCTTGCGTTAATGACATGCAAATATTCTTTAAATATTCTTCATACTCATTGTAATATCACACATCATCTTATAGCACAGAAAACATGTAGCAGATATCCAGCAGACATGCCAATACAAAAAGCATATTCATGGACAGGCAATTAACTCAATCCAAAATAAATTAATAAATGTCACACTATGTGACAGACATAATTTGGTTCTCATATTTGTGCAATATGCATGTCTGCAAACAATGCAAGCAGTACTGCTTTAAGATTAGATCAGAGCACCTGGCAACTGGACAGGAAAGTCAAATTTTGGCAGGAAGTCCATTATTGCAACAGAATTTTGGAAATCAGCTAAAATTTACAAAAACAGACTCCCTCTTTTTTTCTTTCTTAAGACTACAACTCATATTGCTCTTGGACTAGTATTCAATAATAAATCAGTTATTTAATAGATTATTACGCTGCCATTTTCATCTGTATCAATACTAAGACAAACTTATTCAAATATAATTTAAAATAACACAGCAAAATACCCATTAACATACATGACAATTAAACTGCGCACTTCAAAATGAGTAACCAAAACAAACATTTATGACAATCATCATTCACACAGAATAAACTTCTAACAGCTGTATTCAGAACATATTATTGTAAGGTATACCAATTTTAGTTTGTATTGGATTTATTTAAGATTTCTGGTACCAAAGGGTTTATTTTTTCTTTTTTAAAGAAGGGATCCCGTACGGCCATATAACACGTTTGACTTAAACATTTGTATAACACTTGCATTAACCAGTTGCAACATATGTACCCTGTCAATGGAATTTCTCTCTTATACGCTTATAGAACATTTGGACCAGATTACACAGACATGGTATCACCTGCATTTGTCAGAACTCTCAAAGACTCAAAATATTTATACTACTCCATGTTAAAGGCATGGCAAAATTTTGACCGGTCAATTTGAGTTTCCAAAAGTCATATCAACACAGGTTAAAACCTTTGTCCATGGTTTTCTGATCCTACATTCCATGACCAAAATTTCAAACCCACTTCTTCACAGTTTGGGTCACAAGCAATAAAATCTCAGCAACCCCATACAATAATTTACAGAATACATACAATTTAAAGCACATACAACATGTGACATACTGGAATACTACAAGTTAGCTTACAGCACAATATGAAGCATGTGTTGGAACGCTGAAAATATACATTTTGCTCTCTAATTCATAATCATCTAAATTTACAACATAAGTTCTCTGCAACAAACACTCAGGGCAGAAAGAATGTGGTGTTTGACGTTTTGAATGAAGTGACTTTTTGTCCCAATATGAAAATAAAGGGCTCATCATATAAACAATCATACATCCCACTCTCATGAAAAAGTGTAGTGGGCTTATAGTACTTTTGACCAAGTATAAAAATAAGGGGCTCATTATGCAAACAAACATACATGCAGAGAAATCATGTTAGTTCTAGAATTTGTAGCCCCCCTTAAATAACCTCTAGTTTTTTCTTATTCATCATCACCTTTACATGTACTTTTGACATTCCCTCAATTAAGACTTTATGCTTAAAATCAGCGTTGCACATCATAAAATAGCACATAAATTAGCAAGCCGGAGTAATGCCAAACATCCATCATACCTTTTAACCCCCCTTTTTTTTTTTTTTTCTTAATAACCATTTTAGTCTGCAAAATTGACATCTACGTTAAATAAATACCACAGTCCACCAAAGACTGGAAATCTGTTTTATAACCTACCAAAGGCAACCTCTACCAAAGAGGGATCTAGGGACGTCTCCCATATGTAAATGTACATCACAGGACATCACAGCCTACCAAAGGCTTGAAATTATTTTTAACACCTGGCCAAAGGTGAACCTCTTACCAAAGAGGAAATGTGCACAATAACTACTACTACCTACCAAAGGCAATCCTCCAACCCGTGGAGTAATAGAAGTCTACCTAAGACTTAACAAAATACCATGTCTACCAAAGACATTATCCTGTGAAAATCCCCTTTAAAAATGTAAATAGTGAAAAACCCCATTAAAACAAGAAATGCAATGTGTGGGAGGATGGCAGAAGCAGGCAAAGGTCCCCAACCCCTTAAGGACACACGACAGAAATACTCCGTCATGATACCCTTAAATTCCAGAAGTTGTGTCCCCAAGGGGCTAAAGACCCCCTTACCTGCAACTCCGTTCCTAATTGCACCCCACTTCTGACACCAATTTGTTGGGGATAAAATCAGCCTGGGCCCTTTGTGGATGATGGATATTTGCCAACTCATACAGAGCTCTGGAAATTGGAAATGAATAGCAGAGACGTGTTCAATAACCAATTCAAATTGTATTCATACGTCAGTTATATTTATAACCCATTTTCATAGCAGGATGGGAGGGGGAAAAATGAGCATATGGGCGTGACAATGACATTGTTTTTCACAAGTTATAAACATCTGTTTTTAGTTATAATTCGATGTTACATAATGTATGCATATTGGATAAAACCCAGATGATTACAAATACCGAAATCTTGGACAATTAACAAGGTCATTCCAGAATCCTTATCATGTCATGTCATGTCATGTCGTGTCATGCCATGTCATGTCATGTCATGTCATGTCATGTCATGCAAATATCTTTTTTCCAGGAACATAACAAAATCATGTTTCAATAACATTTCTGAGAATTGGAGATACAATTCCAAATTTATTCTTGATTCAAATTAACCCTTACATGAACAGTTAGGATATAGAGCAAAATGGATATTCGCATCTACAAGATTATTTACAAAAAATGACATCTGAATAAAAAGTATTAGCTTCACTATAGAAATATGTTAATTGGTTTTGTTTTCAATGTCACCTATATATTGTGGGAGCCAAATGTCACGTGAACATGGAACAGAATTAAAGGGCGAAGAATTCCTCTCATTCAGTTCCAAAGTTTTAGACCAGGGATAGGCAATCTTCGGCACTCCAGATGTTGTGGACTACATCCCCTTTAATGCTCTTACACCC